AGAGACGAGCAATGCTCAAGAGACTGTGCAACGTCATCAATTGTCCATTTGTCCTCAGGGAGGGCATGTTCTTCTAGTGTAAATGGCCCCTGTTTGGTTCGGGTAAGCTCTAGTACATTGGCACAGGAAGAGAGCTCTACAGCAACAAAAGGTGAAAATTCCATAAGACGAGTGTTTCAGTATTTCACAATCTATAATCTTTCAAATGACAAAAGAACTTGACTCAAACCTCTCAAAACCATCCCAAAAGCCGAACTGTAAGTAAACCAGTAAGAGCCAAGACCCCTGAGATAAACAAATAATTAAGTGGCAAAACAATATAATAACTCATGAACTGCTTTAAAGTCTACAAAAAACTGGCACATATTTATTTTTATTCAATTCATGAAGCAACCTCATGAGGTCAATTTTACCCTTACTTTGCACAGGAGATATACTAGTCTAGTGTTGTAACTGCCGGGAAACAGCAGAGCCAGAATCACAACTTCCTGGTGGATTGTGAGACTATGGTTTCCAGGATTTTTTTTTAAATGTGATTTGCATCAATAAATATAACTTTTAGGAGGATACATCTTTTTTTTCTGATATCTACTTGGAGTTAAATGTTTTGTACTTAAAAAAACATTGGCTCTTGCATTCATTACTCCTGCCTTCATCTGCCATTCCTTTCTCTTCCTGTCCCATCACAAGTCCCTCACTATAGCTGCAGAGGATGGTAATTCCATGCTAGAAACTGACAATGCTCCCAAGGCTGAAAGCAGTAAGAGCTCAGTTCCACAGGCCAGTACTCAGAAATATGAAAAATAGAAAATTCCCTCTTCCCATAAAAAAGGAATATTACTCTCTAAATGATAATTCATAATTCATTTTTCTGCTTACCTTTGCCAATGTCACTGACCAAGCTTCTGATATAAAAACCTCCTCCACATTCAACATCTGGAATGTTAACAGTGACATGGTAAATTGCTAACCTCCTATGAAATCCACTTTACATAGAAATGATGCCCCTAAACAAGTGTAAAAAATGCACTATGCAAACCATTGAGTGATAAAATATTTATGTGCTGAAACATAAATTATTCATCCTGCAGCATATGTGTTTGTGAGATTGAAAAGTCAAAGTGTGGAGAAAGCAAACAGCAGAAACTCATGAACACATTTTAAATTAACTGGCGAGTCATACCACTTTAATACCTCAGCCTTGTTCCCTTAATAGGTTTTAAATAGTCAGAAATCTCAGTTTTGCTGTCATGAAATACAGACATTAAAAATACTTTCAGACACATGAACCTTGTTCATTTATTAGGTTTTAAATGGTTAGAAATATCAGCTTTGCTCCCATGAGCTGTAGATATTTAAAACCTTTCAGATATGTAAGTTCAAAAAAATATTACCAACAAACCAAGCAACAAAGAAATCCTTTCACAATGATAAAAATCATGTTTGTGTATTATACTATACACAGAAAGCTCAGGATATGTAAATGTTATTTTTGAAATATTTTTGAAAAAAATCACAACATAACTTGAAATTACACAAAGTCCTAGGACTGACTGAATATCTAATCAGCTTGTTAGCATAGCATTTACAAGTTCATCGGTGGAGAGCAGGGGTTTGCTTCATTTCATTATCATCAAGATATACCGAAAAGAGCTGCCGCATTTCTACACAAAAGGACTACATTCTTGCTGTTTCTAACATCAAGGAAGGAATACAGCCATCAGGGAAATTAATAAAAATTCCCCACCTGGAGATTTTAATTATTCTTCTTTCTTCCCCCCCATGAACTAATGGTTGGGGACACTGATAAAATACAAAGGAGCACCAGGATGGAATCGAGGTGTGCTGACATTTTTTGCATTATATCTGACTTTGGTGAAAGACAACTCTTTGGCCTACTGCAGTCTCGAGTCAAAGAAATAAGGCATTTATGACATATGAAGTCAGAAAAATAGGAATTTTCTTATTTTTGTAAAACTCACTCTGCCAGGCCAGCTGTTGCATTTTCAGTGAATGGAGCAAAATACTTTTCAGTGTGATTTTTTTTTCATTATTTGTCAGTTTACAATCAAGGTACTTAAGAAAATGAGTTTCTTTAACTATATAATACGACATTCTGCAGAAACCTAATACACATTAAATAATAATGCCAGTGACAAAAAGCAACAAAGTTTAGGAATAAAGGTTTTGGAAAGTTATTTCTAAAAGGAATCCTAACTATATGAAATTAATGGTGGGATCAATGTCAGAGAGCTTGAGCATCAAGAACTACACCTCCTGATACTTCACAGCTCTTAGGTGCTCAAGACTTTACCTACAACTTGCTGCAGCCAGGAAGCACATAAAATTTCTAAACAACAAAAACTAGCTTTTTAGTTTATTTCAAATCTGAATTATATATTCAAATTGATGGCCTAAATTAAAATGTGACCATGTTGTCAAACATACATTCTGCCTTATCTGTTTCTTCCATATTTTCAGGATCTTTAGTAGTAACTTACAGGAAACAAAGAGCGGCGGGGGGACTGGAATGAGTCCATTCTTAAAATTTGTTTTTTGTTTTTGTCCAAAAGCTAAAAATATTTTATTAAAGGATAAAATTCTTTAATAAAGAATTTTTTTCTTTATCAAAGGATATTAAGAGGACAAATTAACATCTATTCTAAAACCAAATATATCAGTATAGTCAAAAATGGAAAGAAAAGTATTCCATAAGATAAAAATTTTAAATCTAAAACATTGAAGATATATACTGTTTTCTCCATAGAGAGCTTTTTCTCTCTTTGTGCAGTACTGGGGATGAAACCCAGAGCCTTGGACACGCTAGGCAGTGCTCTAAACTGAGCCACGTTCCCAGACCTTCTCCAGAGGGATGGATCTAAGGTATACTACTTCCAATTTAATAGCAAGATGACATCCTATAACATGAAAAACTCAGCCTAGTGAAAAAGACATTTCTGAACCTCCATGTAGCTTGAGGTATCTCATTAAATGTGTAACCAAATCACAACCTTTCATAAATTCAAAATTTAAGAAGAATCTCCAAAAACATAGGGAACCATTAGAATTATTCAACAGCAACTAAATATAAATAAAGGTACAGTAAATACAAATGATTTCTCCATCTTACCTAATGTGAAAAATGGTGGCTGGAAATTTTGAAGGGAGATACTGTATACAGTTACTGGCCTGGCAGGTTTTGCTTCTACTACTTCACCTCTCTTCATTAAAGTTGAAAGTCTCTGTCCATCTTTCTTTAATGCAGAATAACTTACAAGATAAGAGAGGGAGAGAGGGAGGGAATAAGAGAGGACGATCTGAGGGAGATTGAGAGAGAATGAAAGATGGTAATTCCATATGATGGCATGAAAAGAAAGAATATCTCGCAGCCCTTTAAAGTGAAAAGCCCTTCTAAAACTTGAACTGGTTTTTCTTCCAACCCACTCCAAAATGTTTTCAGGGATAAAGCTCCTAAATATCTTAGAGGCTAATCTGAGCCCATTCTGGCATTCAATGAGCCCTTCTTTAACGATCTTCCTGGAGATGGGCTATTCATACATTCCCTTCCCTAGTCTCTTTCTAAGTCAAGGGCACAAGGAACTCAGTAGTAGCCTCTGGTCATAATGATCTCAGCTAAATTTCCTTGAAATAATTTCTACTATAATAAATTTCACTTTATATTAAAGTTATCAGTGTTTCTAAAAAGCTTATAAGCATAAACTCTACTTCATATATTTTAGCTTTGTGTAATAAAATTTTATTAGGTCACAAAATCCTTGGATAGTCAGAGCAAAGAAAATCTAAAATGGTCCTTATAAGTTTAATTCAGTTTAACAATGGCCTAAGTTAATTTTTATCAGGCATTACTAAAATTTTTAAAGTTTTACATTTGAGGAAATATATGAAAAACCATTTTTCCATAGGTAGTTCAACATTCTTAAAAAGAGGGAAAAAAAGACTTAAAAATGCAATATGAATACAAAATTCTAAAATAACTCTTAGTAACTTATCCTGACTTAACCTCAGCCATTTTTTAAAAAAAAGTGATTTGCCTGAAATGGTCACATGCGCACAAATATGGTTAAGTGGTGTTATGGTTTTAACGTCTATGACTCTTCCAAATTTAAAAGTTGAAATCCTAAGTACCAATATTATGGTATTAGGAAGCAGGACCTTTTGGATGGTGATTAGATCACAGAGCACAGCCCTCCCAGAAGGGGTCACTGCCCTTACCAAAGAGGCCCCAGGACAGCTGTCTTGCCCCTTCAGTGTGAGAACACAGTAAGAAGGCACTGGCTATGAGAAAGTTGGCCGTCACCAACAACTGAACCAGGAATCCCTTATCTTGAACTTCTCAGCATCCAAAATTGTGAGAAATAATTTCTGCTGTTTCTAAACTATAGTTTATATTTTGTTATAGCAACCTGAATGAATCGAGTGGTAAAGCAAAATATTTATTTTTTTTAATATAACTCTCATCTGTTCCATTTGTTATAGAGAAAAATTCTAGGCCCCAAAGGAATGGGCCTAACTTCTGAGAGGCAGTGCATATTAGGAATTATTAGCACAACTCTGATGCTCTCAGCACGGTCCTTCATGGTAATTTCTGGGAAAATGACATCTCTGAGCAGCAGAACTGCCTTGATATCTGTAGACAGAATGGAAAAGCTGATAAAAATACAAACAGCCCAGGTGCTAGACTGTGGAACACCCAAGGACAGGAGACCACGCCACACTACCTCCTAGACAGAGCTTCACATGAGTCTAAATCTGGCTCACCTTTACACGATCATTCCCTATGGCAGATTTAAAATCTGCCTTGCCATATAACAAAAGGAATCCCATTCTAGTTTAGAGTGATGTTAAGCAGTGGAAAGTAATTTAAACATTTAATCAAATCAATAATTGAACTCACAGAGGGGGTACTTGCATTATTGTCCCAGTAAATTTCTGTAGTATGCCTTCAATATCTTCTTGTGTTATTTTATCTGCAAAAAATGAACAACAACAAAAAAAGTGACACTAAAACAATCACAGAAATACATGCACTATTTTTATAGCACCAACAGCTCTGAATTCTTTTAAAAAATTTTTCCAACTAAGCATATTAAAATGTATTTCTTATAGACCAAATTCTACCTGGTTGAGAAGAATAAAATATGTGTTAATGAGATAAAATGGATAGAAAATCTCATATGTTCTTTGTTAAGATTAAATTTCCATTGCTTCAATTTTTTTTTCTTCAATAAAAATGGCCCAATCATCATGTATGCACTTTGCTGGTTCTGACTGTGGCCTGTAGGAGACATGAGAAAAATGCACATTAGCTATAGTAACGGTCCTGTGGTGATCAATAATGGGGTGATCAGAAAGCAGGCAGAAAAGTAATGTCTATCAATTATTTTCTAAGTTTCTAGACATCAAATATTGTAAAAACTTAATGTGAGACAGAAGATTATAAAATATTATCCACATTTTAAGTTTTACCTGAGAAGAGTTTAGTTACATAAGGTTAAAAACTGAAAACTATGATATATAAATTGAATATCTGGAATTTTCATACTTACAGATGGTTCATTATACATATTTCATATTCAGTAATAAACTAAATTTTAGAAATATTCTATAACTTGTTTAAGTCATGGTTAATGGAAAGAAACTATGGTGCTTTACAATTTTGCAGAAAATTTATTTAAACTTTTTTTCTGGTATATGTCTATTTGATTTTAATTGAACAATATTAAACAAAAATTAATTAGTGTGATTTTTTTTTTTTTTTTGTATCAGGGATTGAACCCAGAGGGGCTTACCCACTGAGTCACATCCCCATCCCTTTTTATTTTTCATTTTGAGACATGAGTCTTGCTAAGCTGCTTAGGGCCTCACTAAATTGGTGAGGCTGGCTTTGAACTTGTAATCCTTCTACCTCAGCCTCCTGAACCACTGGGATTAACAGGCATGCAGCAGCACATCTGGAAATTAGTGCACTTTTAATTATAGTTCTAACACCATGTTAAAAATCAAATGATAACATGGAATACTGTGTTCAGACTGTAGCAACAACCCAGGAGGACAGTCTTAACCTCTGTATGACCTTGAACCTTAAAAACTAAACACAAACAAAAGACTAGAATCTACTAGACTCAAACAGATGATGAAAAGCAACAGAACTCAAAAGTACTTCCCCAAAGCTGGGCCTGGTAGTACATGCCTATAATACCAACAACTTGGGAAGCTGAGGCAGGAGGGTTGCCAGTCTGAGGATAGCTCCAATCTCTAGCAACTCCAAAATCACAGATCTCAGATGTAAGTCCTGTTCATACTGTTTCTCCAACAGATGTGTCTCATAATATGGGTGAGGATTTGTCCACAAAAAAATTTTACTCTGCTGCAATATTAAGACATAATTACTGGTGGCAAAACTTTGTTATGCAAATCTACAGTTTTCAAACTTGACAGCTAATGGAACAACTGTGCAGGTTGTTCCACCCAAAGGAATGCCATTGCTGATAAAACTGCAGTAGTTCATAACATAGCCCCTCATTTTAAAAACAAGACCAAACTGCTGTCTGCTTCTGCTAGCTGAGCTCTTCACTGACATTCCTGCAAATGTGTACTCCTTTGTCCCGCTTCAGTGGCTCTCTTTCACTGATTTCCCCCATGCAAGATGACAAGATGTGCTCTTTCTCATTCTACTTCTACCACATTGTCTCCTCCTCTGTGCTCACATTTTAGGCATTTATGGTGTGTGCTGTTCATTCTATAATTAATCATGCACAGTTTTTAACAATATTTTAAGGTATTATCTCACCAATAAAATTCTGAGCCTTTCAAAGGCAAAGACAGTTTCTCTTCTTAGATAACATTCATTATTAAGATGGTGCTCAAGACATTCTTGCTGAAATTTAATTTGCTAAAAAATAATAGAATCTCAAGGTTGAAGGACATTTAAAAGTCACTGAGGCCAATCATTCATCTGATGTTTGAATTGTCAGACATAAAGCTTACCTAGCGAGTTATAATAAAAGCTAACCTTGCGATACATGGCTGGAGAATAAAGCATGCTGGCTACATCTAAAACATGATATTAGTCCTATAACAACTGTTCCTATAAGAATAACATCTCTACTTCGAGAGGATTTAAAAAGAAATGCAAAATAAAAACTTCTACAGCAACAAGATCTAATAACTAGCCAAAAGATGTATATTTGGTAAAAAAAAGACTGATATGACCAAAGTGTCATAGGACTTGAATAATTATTCTTTGTTCAGTAAATTAAAAAGCCATCAATATGACAGCATTCATTTGAAATAACTTTTTTTTTGAGAGAGAGAGAATTTTTAATATTTATTTATTTTTTAGTTTTCGTCAGACACAATATCTTTGTATGTGGTGCTGAGGATTGAACCCAGGCCGCACGCATGCCAGGCGAGCACGCTACTGCTTGAGCCACATCCCCAGCCCCTTGAAATAACTTTTAAAGTCATTCTCATAAAATTAATATATATGAGATCATGTAATAAATCATAATTTGCTTAAAACTTACTGGCTTTTTCAGTGAACTTACAACATAATAGTTGATGCTTAAATGAACTGGGAACTAAAAGCAGTATGATGGAGTTAAAAATATTCGCCCATAACACGGTAACTGTTACTAGACAAGTCCCACCATCACAAACAGCTGTGGCAAATAGATCAAGAGAATAAAATAAAGAATCTAAAAATAAAAGCATATATATATGGACAACTTGTTTTTGACAGAAGTTCAAAGGTTAGTAGAGAAAGGGCACTCTTCGAAAAATGAGTGCTAAAAAATTTCTAACATCCATTTGTAAAAAAATAAACTCAGACTCATACCTGAGAGCATACACAAAAACCAACTCAAAATGCAGAGATAACCAAGGGACGTATGGCTAAGCATCTCTGGGGTGATTTAGAAAAAATTATCTGCTCTATTCTTACAATTTTAATCTAAGTTTGATATTACTTCAAAATAAAAAGAGATCAAAAGAGAACATTATAAATAACTTTAAGACAATTATGTTTGAAATTTTAGACAAGACAAATTCCTAGGGGAAAAATTATTTATAATGATGAAAAAAATTTAAAAATAGTAGTCTGACAGCTAGTTAAAAATCTATAATTTAAACTCTTCCTTTTAACAAAGAAAATTCCAGAACAGATGTCTACCAGAAAATACTATCAAATCTATTCTAGTAATATAAGTCTAGCTTAATATTTCAATAAGGAGAAAAACTTAATAGATTCAGAAAAATATTTGATAAAATTCAGTATCTACCCATGATTTAAAAACAAACCCAAACTCAGCAAATTAGGAACTAGGAACAGAAGGTAACTGCCTTACTTTAATAAGAAAGCTACAAAACAAACCTATAGAAAAAAAAATCTGTAAGAAGTACATCTATCCTTCTAGATGTCAAGACTTAGTCTAAAACTATAGCAATTAAGATAGTTTGGTGTTAACACAAGGATGGAAAAACTGATCTGTGTAACAAAACAGATTCCAAACAAACCCAAGCCTGAATAGTGCTTGATCTGTGGCAAAGGAGGCCATGCAGAGCAGTGGGGAAAGTGCAGGGCCGAATGGATATCCAAGTAGGAAAACATGATGGATTACAATTGTGGATGCAACATGAAAGAATGATGGATGTAATGTGAAAGGCAAAACAATAGAAACTTCTAGAACACAGGGAAATATCTTCATGGTTTTGAGGTAAGAAAAATGTTCTTAAACAGAATGCTAAAAAGACTAACCATAGAGAAAAGACTTGTAAACTGAACCAAATAAAGACAAGGACTTCTTCTTTTTGAAAAATACAATTGAGAGAAGGAAAATGCAAGATGCAGAATAAGAGAAAATATCTAAGTAGACATCCAAAGTATATAAATAACTCATACAAAGCAATAAGAAAAGGCAACTCAATAGAGAGAGGAAAGAAAGAAAGGAAGGAAGAGACCTGAACAGCCCATGAAAGATGGCTAATAAGCCAAAAAATCCACATAAAATGCTGAATGTCTTTAGTAATCAAATTAAAATCACAACAAAACACCACAACATACTCACCAGTGTGGCCCAAAGTAAAAACACTGTTAATAGAATGTATTTCTAATATCAAGATGTTTCAAACAAGTGGAACTCATAAGTAGCTGGTGGAACTACAAAGTTACACAACCACTTTGGCAAACTATTTCACAATTTCCAATAGTGTTGAATGTACACTTATTCTATGACCCAGCAATTAAACTTAGGTATGCACAGGACAAAATATAAATAGCATTTTATTTATAATGTCCCAAACTGGGAACAACCCCAAATACCTACCAACAGAAGAGGTCTGGGTGTAGGTCTATGGTAGAGTGCTTGCCTATAGTACACAAGGCCCTGGCTTTGATCCCAGGGTACCACACACACAAAAACATACACACTACAAAGAAGGAATAGTATTGTAATGTATACATATATACATACGTGTGTGTGTGTGTGTGTGTGTGTGTGTGTGTACTAGTATATTCACACAGTGGGATACTGCACAGCAATAACAAAGTCCAAAATACTGACACAAGTAACACTATATATAAATCTCATAAATATAAGTGGAAGAATCTGGCCACAAAAGGATACATACTGTTTAAGAACTATCACCATAATGTTGGAAGTTTGAATAGTAATTATCTTTGGAAAAGGAGGGGGTATGACTCCCATGAGGCACAAGAAGATAAGAAGATGTTCTAGGACTCTTTTCTTTTTTTCTTTTTTATTTGCCTCATTCTTTTTTTTTTTTTTTTGGTGATGAGGATCAAAGTCCAGATCTTGCATATGCTAAGCAAGAACTCTAACACGGAGCTATACCTCTAGCCCTGGAGTCTTCTATTTCTTGGTAGCTGCATGAATGTTTAGCTTTGCGATAATTCATTAAGCTATAAACTTATCCACTGTTCATTTTTCTTTACTTGTGTAATACTTTATAATAAAAAAATTTTAAGTGTAAACAAATGGCACCATTGAGAAGATTGATACCCAGCTACACACTAATCCAATCTGAGACCAAACTCAACTCTTCAGCTTCCTATACCATAACCCTAGAAGCATAGGCAACCTGAGAAGCTGCTCCCATTAGACACATTAGTTGAGACCATTTGCAAAGACTTTGGTAACTTCCTAGGCCAGAATTTCTGTACAGACCATTGTGATTAGCTTGAAATATCACTTCACTTTCACATTTCTTACCTCAAAATAAGTCATAGAGGGATAGAAAAGATAATCCCTAATAGAGGAGCAGACAGAGCTTCCTAGTAGCTGGGCCCACATCTAGCCTCAGGGCCAGAGCCCTAGTGTCCTGAGCTCAGTGGAGAACCAGTGAGCACAATGAAGCCATGTGTCCTCAGGGACACAGCAGAATTAATACCCGGATGTGGGAGAAAAGGCAGCAGAAGGTAGGAAGATATTTGGCTTTACCTAGGACTTGTCTACTGATATCTTCATAGAGGATGCGGCTGTGGCTTGCCTTACTAACTCACATACTATGTGTTTTTTTCTACATGCCACATAATATACCAAGAATATAGTGAGGAGCAAAAGAGACAGGGGTTTTTGGCCCCATAGCTCAAAGGATTAACATAAAAGATATATTTGTGAAAAATAAAAAATGCTATTTAGGAATATCAGAGGGTGCTATGATAGAAAACAACAGGAAGGGCCTGGTTCATAAGGTCTTGAAGTCTACTAAGCCAGAGACTCATTTATTTATTCCTCTAAGCTAACTTTCAGCTAGCTCACACAAAAGCTAAAAACAGTGCTTGTGTATTTAGGACAAAATGATGTAAGAACATTCATCTGTCATTGATTGCAGACTGCCTTAGCTACTTCATTCAAATGCCAGTTGGTGTGAACAGGTCAATTAAGAAATGCATTTTTGGTGATTACAATTACTGGTAGGGTGGCAGCTCCAGTGGCCTTTAATAGGTAGAGGCCAGGAATGTTAGATGTCCTGCTATGCTCAGATCATAGAACATAATAAAGAACTGTCCTGGGTACTGCCTGACTTCTGGATGTCTGCCAGATATTTGTGTAGGTGAAACCCACTTATAATTACTTGAGGCTAGAACTTAACTCCATTTTACATTTAAGCACAAAAGAGCCTTTTTCCAGTCCTGAGTCATTACTATGATAAACCTATGAGAGTCTGCATTTGTACTTGTGTCATTCACAATATTTTTTAAAATACTTTTTTAGTTGTAAATGAACACAATACCTTTATTTTATTTATTTTTATGTGGTGCTGAGGATAGAACCCAGTGCCTGACACATGGTAGGCAAGCGCTCTACCACTGAGCCACAACCCCAGCCCTCGATTCACAATATTTTAGTGTGGACATCTTCATGAAGACTATTAGTATAGTAATACATAAATATACATATAATACATATCACTATATCTATTTTATTAAAAGCTACTTTTATTTTTTTCTTTATATTTCATTTACTGTATTATACTGTTTTGAAAAAACGTATAGGTAAGTTAGAGTAGTTCTCAATTTTAGTTCAGAATAGTAATGAAGGCATATAAAATACTGCTCATAGGTTTCAGATTTTGTTTTCAGAGGGTCAAGAACAGATTTCAGAATTTTCCATTAGCTATTAAGTTCCTTAAGTTCTCTATGATTGATTGATTGATTGATTGATTGATTGATTGATTTGGTACTGGAGATTAAACCCAGGGTGCTTTACCACTGAGCCACCCAGCATACCATCCCACCTTTCAAAAAACTTTTCGTTGCTTGGGGTCCTGCTAAGTTGCTGGCTTTGAACTTGTGATCCTCCTGCCTCTGCCTCCTGAGTTGCTGGGATTACAGGCATGACCCACCATTCTTGGTTCTCTCTGATTTATTACAACATTATAATGAGACTATTTTAGCAAACTGAGCTTTCTTTAAGGCAAGTAAATAAAGTTACAAATTATGCAATGAAGGACAGAGTTCTTTCAATTCCTAGATGCTAAAGGCTAGGAAGAAAGGGTAGATTTTTAAGTATTTTTGTCAGTCTCATCTACTAATGTTCCCTATTCATTGAGTGGCAGCATCATGTAACCAGTTTTAAAACCCCCAAACCCTAGGTCGTGGTTGACAACTTTCTGACTATCCCCATCCAATCAACAATCAGCAAGTCCCACCAATTTTACTTACTGACCACTTTTCTAATTTGAAAATTTCCACGTCTCTCACTGCCATCACCCTAGTCCAAATTACTACCATCTTTCCCAGAACTACTACAAGAGCCTCGTGATTTGTTTATGAGACCCCCATATCCATTCTCTCCCAATCAGTCCTCATAGGACTATGAAGTTGGTCTCACTATCATCTCTTTGGACATGAGGAAAATGAAACAGAGAGACTAAGAAATTTTCAAAGTTACACAGCTAGAAAAGGGTCAGAGCTAGAAATCAAACTCAGATTTGCATAGTCTACAGCTCTATGCTTCACTGAGCTGCCTCCCATTCTTAGTTCTATGATCCCAGGACATTAGTGTGAATATCAATCACTCTCCTTATTTAGACTTGGAAAAAAGAGAGACACTGGGAAACTTAATTATATACATGCTGTCAGTGTATGTTAATATACTCTGAAAATCTTTCTGTCCTCTTATTGCCCTAGCCTCTTTAATCTTAAGTCTTCTAGTTGAAAGTTAGAGTTGAATTTCAGTTAAATCTATTTATTATTTGCTAATACTAATAATAATTTCAAGGATCATTCAACATGTAATTTTAAAAAGATTTAGAAATAAATGAATTATTTTTCTTTACCTTATTCTTTTGATTAATTGAGCAAGATACGAAGCTCTATATAAATTATACAAAATACATGTATGAAGATTTGAATTTGGGACCAACATACCTTATATACAAACAGAGATATAAAAAATTGTGGTATATATGTGTATTAAAAATTGTAGGGCTGGGGATGTGGCTCAAGCGGTAACACGCTTACCTGGCATGCGCGGGGCACTGGGTTCGATCCTCAGCACCACATAAAAATAAAATAAAAATGTGTGTCCACAAAAAACTGAAAAATAAATATTAAAAAATTCTCTCTTAAAAAAAAAAGAATTTTAGTGTAAAAAAAAGAGTACATGTATAATGGCAAAAGTTAGTATGAACATACTTTATATACAGAGATATGAAAAATTGTGCTCTATATGTGTAATAAGGATTGCAATGTATCCCACTATTGTGTACTTAATAAATTAATAAATAAATAAAGGAAATTGGGTGTACAACCAGAGAAGTGAAAAACTGTGCTCCATTTGTGTATAACGAAGAGCATTCTGCTGTCATGTATAATTGATTAGAACAAATAAGTTTAAAATAAAAGGAAATTGGAAGCCAAAAAATAATTAATTAATTAACAGGATAAGTGAAGACATTATGGACAAGAAAAAGGTTGGTCTTGCTACTAGGACAACTTGTAATACATAATAGGGACAATCAACACAAAAACTTAGGGAAGCCAGAGGCCAGACTGCCTACAGCTGGATTAAGGAGAAACAACGTTCAATATGAGGGGAAAACCCAGAATGCCTACAAATAATTCACAGCTGGTGACACAATAATTCAGGTGAACTGACTGACAAATCCACAACTGCTGCATTATAAATAGCTCAGCACGGTGAGAGTTGCTAGGAGACCAATTCATTTATCTATCCTTTCTTAAAGTAGTGAAAGAGGAAATGGCAGAAAAATTAAGGTGAGCCCCAGTGAGTTAGTTCCAGCTTCACTTTAGAGAATGAGCTTTCCCTTTGTCATTCTTTTTACTCCCAAAGTATAAGATAATAAGTTTTAAAGGCCTAAATCCAGCACATTTATATTAATAGCTAAGAAATAATTATTTCTTAAAAATTTAAAAAGGAAAGACACAAGTTAAAATCTAGCAAGACAGTATCTCTGCTTTGTTTCTCATATACTAAGGAAAAATACTCTAAATCCTATCTATAAATGTTTTTGGCAAGGGAGTTTTTTGAAAGAATAATTCTGAACATTACACAAATTCATTATAGGAAAAAAGAAAGAATACAAAGTCTTTGTTCATAAATTCTTACCAAACAAGTAAAAATGTGATTAAAAACAAAAGTTCCAATCTTTTTAACTTCAAGAAATGTACTGAGAACTAAAATCACCAGAAGCCAGGTATGGTGGCACATGCCTGTAATTCCACCTAATCAGGAGGCTGAGAGGCAGGAGAATCACAAATTCAAGGGCAGCCTTGGCAATTTAGCAAGACCTGTCCCAAAAAAAAAACAGGGCTGGGGATGTCACTCAGTGGCAGAGCACTTCCTAGCACATCTGAGGCCCTGGATTCAATCCCCAGTACCACAAAAATCAATAAATAAAATAAAACCACTGGAAATATCAAGTAAGACACTTAGTTTTAAATTCTGTGTTCATAGAAACAGTCTCTAAATGTGAAAAAGGAGGACACTTTTATACAGATGAGCTTCATACCATAGGGTTTCTCTTCTGTCACTTTCCCTGTAGAATCGAGTGTGTCAGTGGCTTTCCCCAGCTCTCCAATGGCAATGTACCTCTAGAGGAAGAAAAACAGAAAAGTGGGGCATGAGGTTGTGAAAAACTATCCTGCATGCCTTGAAGTTTATTCAGAATTTTATTAATAATACCAACCAGATAGAGAATGAAGGCAAAACAACACACTGAAATTGTTTTTTTGGTTTCATTGTTTCTGATAGTGGGAAGCATTTATGTAAACTGAGGAACATTCACAAACTTTCCATACTGGTCAACATGAGAAAGAAAAACCCATTTTAATGTTAATTATGGCTTATAAACATACTAGTATTGCAAACAAATTTCTAAAACCATTTTTATACTGGCAGTTTGTTTTTTAAAAAACATTTCAAATATATTTGGCCCTCTGTATCTATGAGTTCTGCATCTGCAAATTCAACCAACCACAGATTGTCATTATTCTCTACACAATACAGTTTAACAAAATATTTACATATCATTTACATTGTAATAGGTATTATAAGTAATCTAGATATAATTTAAAGTATGAGAGGATATATTTAAGTTATATGCAAACACTATGCCATTTTATACAAAGTACTTGAGTATTCATGGATTTTGTTATCTGTGGAAGTCCTGAAACCAATCCTCCACAGATACCAGGGGCAGCTGTTTGCCCGTGAGTAGAGAGAATGGTACAATTAAACACAACATGGCCATCACAAGAATCAATAATAATTTTACCACACATATAATTAAAATTCATTTTAAATAAGCCAACTCATTACTTCTTATATAAAATACTAATATCAGGTTTAGTAACTAGATCATGCATTTAAACAAAAGCTAATTATGTAGAAAATAAGAAAAACTAGAATAGCAGGGGTAGCGCACTTACCTATTACATGTGTTTTCTCAATAAAAGGAACTGACACTAAAGCTCTCTGAAAGGAAAGGTCACTTCCACAAAACTGATCAATATCCACAAAACTGATCAATATCCACAAAAACTGATCAATATCCACAAAAGAATAAGATCTGTCTTAGTCAACTAAGCATTGTCTTCTTCTCATCTTAGGGCACCCCTGCAGTACACATTCTTGTTACTACTTATTTGAAGCAACCCATAAAGCAGTGAGAAAAGGGCAAGAACTATTATTTCTGACTGAAAATAATCTGTTATGTATTTTTAATTTTATATATATATATATTTTTTTTTAAACTTTTTTGCTATTGGGATTGAATTCAGGGGCACTCAAACACTGAGCCACATCCCCAGCCCTATTTTGTATTTTATTTAGAGACAGGGTCTCACTGAGTTGCTAAGCGCCTCACTATTGCTGAGGCTAGCTTTGAACTCACGATTCTCCTGCCTCAGCCTCCAAACCACTGGGATTATAGGCTTGTGCCACCATGGCTGGCTATTACGTATGTTTTTAAAAGAGAAAATTCAAAAGTATTTTACTGAAATGTAGGTTTATGAATGGCAAATCTATTTTGCTAATGAAGGGACCCAAGACAATAATGAAAAAAATTAAAAATTTAAAATCCCATAAATACACAGACATCATATACAGCAGCCTAAGATCCTTGATAACATCACCTTCATATTACATAGCTTGAATATCTAAAAAATGAAGAATACCTAAAAAATGAAGGGAATTGTTCCAATGCATTTAAATTAAAAATTTAAATATTTTTAAAATTAAAATTTTTAAATTTTTAAAAAGATTTCTTTAGGATTAACAAAAATTAGTTTCCTGAAAGTAAACACTCAGTCTCATCACCTGATGCCCAGTTCTTGCTTCTATATTTGGAACACTCCACCTTGAGTGAGCAACCACAGGGTGAAGGGTGAGAGCACAGGCTCAGGCCCACCCTGGCTGGGTCTGAACTCTGCCTCCCCTGCAGGCAGTGAAGGCAAGTGGTCAAGGTAGTCTTAAGGGCTCCAGCATCAGTTGTTTATCTTAAATGGGGGATTTATCAGTGAGTACTTCATAAGAAGACTTTAGAACAATAGGACCAGCCCTGGTAAGCAACAGATAACAATACTATTTCCACTATTATTATGACTGGGAGGTGGAAATGGGAGAGAAGGGGAGAAAGGTATAGAATGATTCATAGTAACAATGGTTACAGTAACTGATCTGGTTACAGAAACTGATCTGGTTACAGTGAGTTCTCATAAGAAACAGTAAAGTAACAAAGTATCCTGATTTTCCCCTTAAACACCTATCTAGTTGGCTCAGCACAGTTCTAGCACTAAAGACGCTGCAGCAGGAGGTTCACAAGTTTGAGGCCAGCCTGGGTAATTTGGTGAGATCTTGTCTCAAAATAAAAAATAAAAAGGGTTTGGGATGTCTCAGTGTTAAGAGCCCACTGGGGGGGGGGGTGTTATCTAGCTACATGAAAAAACACAATGTAATCTTGTACACTGTGCTGCAACTGTACCCACAGATCTGCTATGTAATAGGTTTGAACTAGGGACCTTAACATGCTTTCCAGTATCCAATGCCCATTCTGGCCTCCGGATTCTGGGTATTCTGTGCCTTGGCACAAACTACTTCCACGGCCTAGAACCCCTCTCTTCTCTATGGATCAAACCTTATTCATCTTTCAAAGCCACACAATTAAACCACCCTACTCCCAAAACATGGCTAAGAGGAGGTGCTTAACACAAATTAGTACATCAAAAAAATGAGGCTTACATCAAAACTATAAAATCCCACAGCTCTTAAGGAGTATGAACATATAAAGTATTCTCCTAGGTGCCTGTGACAAACACAAACACAGACTGGAGATGTTATAGTGCTCTAGGCCTCTAGGAGGTTACAGTTTAAGACATAAGACAACAAAAACAACTGCAGGGGAAGAAAAAACTGCAGGGGAAGGAGCCCAATGGTGACAACAGACAGGGGCTGTGGCCAGCGGTTTATTTTACTGAGCACTCATAACACAGTGCTTGGCACATCATCATCCATGTGTGTCAACTGTCTGCCATGTACATTTTATATACTGATTCTTGCCTTGTCAAACTATTCATTACATCATAATTCCACTACAATAAAACAGAGGTCCTATAGAATATTCCATTTAATTGTGTGCTCTTTGGGACTCGTGGTTTTGCTTACACTACTCTATTCTCTTTGTCCTCGAGTTCCTTGAGCCCCATAGCAGGTGTTAGCTAGACACCTAAGAGCAAATCACCACCCACACCTTTCAGAAGGAAATATTCTGTAATTCAGAAAGTGTACACAATCATTTTCAAAAGTTTGTGATTCAAAGTTTCACAAATAAAACAAAAAGATGGATATTTTTAGAATGAGGAAGGATATTTTTTATAATCCTACCAAACCAAAAACATGTGGCTTTGAGTGTCTTAAGAAGGAATTGCTGTTTACAGTTCCTAAGTGTAAATCCTTCAAAATTTTCAATATAAATAAAATATCTGAATATTCATAAAGGATATAGAAAGGGTAGAAATTAGACTACACTCTGGAGAAGGCACTGGTATCTTAAAGGTCTGCCCAAGTTTTAGAAAACATTATTTAAGTCACACTTCTGAGTTCTCATGACTGGGTAACCTAAAAAATGCTAGTGTGTTCTTAGGGAAAGCCTCTGTCCTTTGACCACATGTTGGGTGGGAAACTTTGTGCACTCCAATGATAACACTTGTTCAGCTCTTGGGGGTGATGTAAAGCTGCTTTCTGAGGAAACACTGGCTTTGCCTACAGGTTCTACTATATTTTACTGCCACATAGATGGGGGATAACTTCATGCCTTTACAACACTAATTAGATTCAAGTTTCCATAATAGGACATCAACTCTTCCATCTGTTTATTTAGTTCCTAAAACATCTATAAAAGTAACCAACTTTAACAATCAATACAGAAAACTAATAAAAAGAGCAATCCAAAACCTCATCAAAGATGGTTACTCCAAAGCATACCATCTGTTATCCAGCTTCCGCAAATAACCAGCTTACAGAAGGTATAATTTAGGAATAACAGTAGAGGGACTAACACCTTCCTTTAATCTACATACTCTACTTAGACCAGGTGAGGTCAGAAGAACAAATTGGCCTCATTTCTCAGAGTTGCTTTGCCTGAATTATATTTTATGCAGATCTACTTCTACATCCGTTATAAACTATTTTTGAGGCCAATAATCTATCTGTCATTTGATACCCTGATTGTAAGAAATTTCTTTCTGAGATTAGGCCCAGAAACTCTCCCTTGAAGAAATGGCATGCTTTCTCCTTCTGATGCATATCATATTTTGTCAACAGCACCAGAAATCACTGATAGGAATAAAAAAGTAAAATTAGCTATATTCAAGAAATACAGCAGAACTTGCTTGTGAAAAATTATTTTAGGTGTCTGACATGTAACTAGAAAAAATCTAACAGGCCTGGAATTCAAGAGAGAAAGGATTTGGTGAATCCTGAAGTAAAATACTCAGAAACAGTAATAACATTATTGTTATAGTGCAAAGAAGGCACTAAAAAGAAAATTTAGATGCTTTTTACAAAATTATACATGTAACCCCCAAAAATGTAGTGGGAAAAAAATATATGAAACACTCAAGATACCTGACCATTGTTAGAACACAGGTTACTATAAGACAGGAGGACAAGAAAATGAGGAACACAGGGAAAGGGCTCTTTTCTTAACTTTTAAACCCTGATAGTCACTGTTCTTTAGAGATGGAAGCAAAATAATCTGGTGACCTGCAGATTTTATTGAAAAATCCAGCACTCCATATTAATTGATTATGGTTCTAGGAAGTGCCACTATGTTAAAAAGAATTCTAAGGATGCTTCCTGATTAGCAGAAAAATTATTAGCCTAGGTGTAATTAGCAAGTTCTCCAATTAGAACTTATTGGTGAGGGAAAGGTAAGTTATGTCTGTATCAAAAATACTGAGTATCTATCATCCTAGAGAAAATATTTCTACTCCTAGAGTAACTCTGAAAGTAACTCTACCCTGCACATACTACAAGTGCAATTTTTCTAGTAACACTGTGAAATAAACACCTGTAAAAATAAGAAGTGGAGAAGGAGTAAGCATTAGATTGAACACCAAGTCAGGACTAAGTCAGGAGGCTACAGCCACCAGTGTTTTTTTTAATGGAAAAAAAAAAAAATATATATATATATATATATATATATCTCAAAAGTACATCATACCTAGGGTTAAAGTTGTTCAATGAAATTTTTGCATTTTATACTTGTGTGTGTACATAGGGTCATGATGTAAAATAATTTTTTTGCTATGAATCTCGGTCAAAAAAATTCTTTTTTTTTTTTTTAATTTCAATATTTATTTTTCAGTTTCCGGTGGACACAACATCTTTGTTTGTATGTGGTGCTAAGGATTGAACCTGGGCCGCACGCATGCCAGGCAAGCGCGCTACCGCTTCAGCCACATCCCCAGCCCAAAAAAAATTCTAAAGTCATTGGATGAGATGATCTCTAAGATTCTCTCTAGTACTAAAAACAATAATCAGAAAAATATTCATTAATAGTTTTACTATTTCTGACAAAAATGTAATTTTCAACATACTTAAAGATAAATTTCAATTATTTAGTTCTTGCAACAAATACATAACAAAATTAAAATAAGAAACAGCTATCAAGATAATTGTTAGGTCGGTGGCGGCGACTTGGTGGCGACTTAGTGGCAACTTAGAACAAAGCAGCCCACGCCGGAAAAGAACATCAATCAGATGCCGGCGGAAACGCCTGTCAATCAGCCAGATCTCCTGACTAACGCCTGTCAATCAGCAGGACCCCCTGGCCAATCTGGAGTTCAGCCAACTCCCCTGACCAACTCCAAGGGGGCAAGGGACTCTAAGAACATCTTTTCCTGTCCCAAGCCCTTCCCTTCCTGCTGTAAGCCCCATAAAAGTCCAGTCCGTGGAGCTTCCACGCGGTTTCTCCTCAGACCCTTCCCCTGTCCCCTCTGTGGGTCTGATCAATAAAGCCTGTTCAGCGGTCCTTTTAAATCTGCCTCCTTTGGCCATTGCCTGCCCCATCTGATCTGACAATAATGATGCCTATTTTTGAAATGTGAAACACCTAAGAACTGGGTTTCTGTAACGAGATACAACTGGGATATTCTATATAAGTTATAGTCTTATAAGGATCCCTGATGTCATCACATGACATTCAGCTTTCCCAGATGGGCAGCAAAATGATTTGTAAGTAAAACTCAAATGAGAGTCAATGATGTACTTACATTTTCAGTCATCACATTTCTGAAAATATGCCTGGAATTTATAAGTAAAATCTTTCAATAAAATATTTTTTTGTATATATTTGTGGTTTGGGGGGAAGGGGTGAATAAAATATTTCAATGAACCCAACAGATTTTGTCTTAGGGATAAAAACCCAAAGTCTTTAATGTAAATAAATAAATTATATATATATATATATATATATATATATATATATGATTATATATACACACACACACACACATAAAAGTGACTTGTAAGGATTTTAGAAAATACAAGTAATGTGAAAAAAGAAAATAAAAATCATATTCCCCTATTAAATAACCATTATTTATATTTTGAAGATAAGAAACAAATATTAAGCAACTGGCAAAAACCTGTATCAGAAATAGACTCTCAACTCTGTGCATTAATAGGTAAGCACAATGTATAAAGTTAGTGGAAAACAGTCAAATGCTTCCATTCTAACACAATTTCTGTATTGTGATTTTTCAACACCATTATTTTCAAGATTATAGAGCAAGCCACATTAAAATTTTTCACTCATCTAAGGCATTAAGAACCCTTCAACTTGAAGGCATATTTTTAAGCCAATTGATTTTTCCAGGAATTTAATTTTAAGAAAAGCTTAAACAGACCACCACCACTCTTAAGTGTGGTCCACGAGCCAGTACCCGTTAATAAGATAGATTCAGAAAATAAGGATGTTTAGAAACTTATTTAGCAATTTGACATTGCTATAAGGTTTTAATTACACTTTACAAAAGTCATCCATCAGTCTGCAATGAACTGGAAATTTACTCAAGCAGTCTTTGACCATATTTATTTTTTAAGAAACAATAAGATAAAAATCAATTTGCCAACTATTTATATTACACTTAGAGCAAGGGTTTTAAAACATTTAGTCTAAGAACTTGGCGAAATCCTTCTCTACCTTCTGGCATAGTAACTTTCTTCCACTGACATTTCACTGGACCCCCATCATAACCAGGGCCTGACTGCTAATTAAAATACACATATAAGCTTTCCTTTGAGAACTGGAAGAGACACTAATAATCTTTCCTAGGGAGGTCAACTACTTTGACATCTGATTTGTTTCAATGTTCCTTCTGCCACACTCAATGCCCAATGCAGTCCACAAGTTTCTAGCCTTTCTTGTCTGAGTAAACTCTCTTCTCTCTCCTACCAAGGATCTAAAAAAGTGCTTCTGGATCTTGTCAAGGCTACCTTCTTTCTTTTGGGGGGTAGGTGGGTGGGTACTGGGGATTAAACCTGGGGCGCTTAACTACTGAGCCACATACCCAGCCCTTTCCATATTTTATTTAGAGACAAAGCCTCACTAAGTTGCTCAGAGTCTCACCAAGTTGCTGAAGCTGGCTTTGAGCTCTGAATTCTCCTGCCACAGCCTCCTGACTGGCTGGGATTATAGGCATGCATCACCATGCCTGACCAAAGCTACTTTCACAGATGAACAATATAATTTGTCATCTCAAGGCCATATTCTTTTCTTTAATAAACATTTATAACCACTGAACAAAGTATGATTTGTTAAAAAAGTACATGGTTTATAAAATGCTAGTTTTATAAAAATTCCAAGGTTAAAAAAAATCTGCCAATAGAAATCATAACCTATAAGTTTACTTTCATCTAATGATTAATTTTTTTAAAAAAAGCTGCATATTTTGAACAATCAATAAAAAAAGAAAAAAAAAGCTGCATAAAATTTTTTAAAATTATATGCAGATATTTTTGTTTTTTCTTTAAGTCTAATTTGTTTTTCAATTTAGAATCTTATAATTGAATCATGAATGTTTGTGACATTTTGATTAATAAGAGTGAAACTTTTCATATAATTTAAAGTTTGTTTATTCTTTAATTGAAAATATTCAAAGTATAGTTCAGTAAGAAAAACATTAAAGATAAAAGAAAAACATTCCAGTATTCTTACCTTGGATCCTGACAACATACTGGTCAACATTTTTGTTCCCCTTCCAATTCCAACCACTACAAATCAAAGAAAGAAATACTATGACACTCTATTTTGAAAATTAGGTTTTTAGAATACCTACATATTTGGTCTCTGACCTATATAATGTGAAGTTGGAAAGAGATACAGTTAACATAATTTGAAAGTTCCTATTACTCAGATCAGTTGAACTTCTCATAAAACTTAGGAACTCTGAAGAGAAAATGGGAGAGAGACCCTTTTTTCTCCATTCTCAAAGTATTGAAAACTACAGAAACCTCAACCTAGTCAATTAGATGATGAAGTTTTAGAACAATCTCAAAGGACTCACTGGAATTTTATATGGGCACCAGTGAAAAATACATGTGGCAATTAACCATGTTCAAGTGGTATGATGAGATCTTGTCAGAGTTCATTACTAAACAAAGCAAAAGTCATCATCCTAGCTAATGAACCATTTAAAGATGATTAGTGCCCGGCAGGATACAATCCAGAAAAGAGAAACAAAACAAATCAACCTAACACAAAGAAAACTACAGGCTAAAATGAGGGCCTAGAGAGAGTATTTTAACATAGACCAACTCTAAAGTACAATGGTCTACCTTTTTCTTCAGTTTCAAACACATACTTATAACTACACATTTCATCAGGTGAGATTGAGAGGCTTTAATAATTTCTTCACTTAATAGCAGGCAAAATTTGACAGAATTGGTTTATTTATCATCAGTGGACACAAGTGTGTGTAAGTACACAGTATAACCACACAATTCAGAACTCAGAAGAAACTGCAGAGATGATTAACGAACTAAAAAAACTGTCATCACTATTTGTAGCAGATATCATTCAATGAGTTCATCATATATCAAATTCCACTCTGGGTTTCATTCATTGTCTCATTTAATCCTTAAAACGACCCTAAAAAGTTATAATTACCCCCTGTTTTATAGATGAGGAAACTGAGGCACAGAGAGACTAAGAGCTTTGCCCAGCATCTCACAACTAACACTGATGGAGTTAAAATTCAAACCAGACTGGCCTCACCTTTTCATTCCCCTGAATCTTACTGATCCATGCTTGCTTCCCACCGCCACAGGCCTAACCCACTGCAAACATGACTGTTCCATAATCTGTCCCTTCCTTTTCCAATTCATACTATTTTATAACTATTTCTCAAAACCCATTTTGCATACTTCAAAACCCCCAACAACTTAATAACATTCCAATTTTTACAGTACCAACCCCTTTGTATTCAAATCTAACCTTCTAAACCCAGGTAAAGACCCAACTCATTCATAAAGTCACTTCTACACTTCTGTGGCACTCATTTCTATTGATCCTTGGTCTCTAAATAGGGTCACATTAGTTCTAGAACTAAGACCAAAAACTGCCCTCCTTTAATAAACTCTGAAGAACACAATATCCTTCAAATGACAGGATGTGTTGACACTTCTCCCACTGAGGCAAAAACTTTGTACAATAATAACAACAAAGATTCAATGCAATTTGATTCCATTCAAATGAGTCCCTAATCAATACTCTTTGAACAGCTACTATGAGCACATTCCCAAGAGGAATATTTCTAAAGGAACAAAAAAAGAAAACTGAGATGCATTTCCTGACTTTGAAAGAGTCTATAATCTCAGGGGTAAAACATCATACAGAAGAGGAAAATCACAGTGCTCAAGAATTATTGCCTGAATTAATAAGTGAATAAGGCAATATGTGAATATATCATTAAGCATTAAAATGACCACAGAATAACTGAGGCAGGAGGTCACAGGCAAAAAGCACTCTAAATGCCTGAGACCAGAGAATGCTTCATTCAAGCATTCCAAACAATTCATGTAATAGCATCCCATTGCATCACAAGGGACAAAGACACTGGTGAAATCCATATGCAGGCTCCCTTATTTCCTCCCTCCTATGAGGGGGATACTTGAGCTTGCTCCTTTTTCCAACAGTGAAAAAAACAGTAATATATGTGCAATGTTTCTCTCAGAGAAGCTTAACAGTAACTCAGTGCCCAAAGTTTTTATTGGAGGTTTAGGAATGGTCACCCAGGCATCCTCTGCTTACGTGCTGGGACAAAATTCCAGATTCTTGGAAGAAAAGTAGATTTTCATGCAAACAGCTTGGCACAGCAAACTGCCCTTATCCTACAGGGAAGGGTGGGAACACTCCTAAAACTTAGGTTTGCAGATCCCAGCCCAAGACAAACCTTATAAGCAGAACTTTCTAAAGATAGCAATTCCAGGCCTGTGGTGGTAACTGTTTTCTGTACAGATACAAACCTTTTCTCAAAGCCTCAATCCACACATGAAAGTATAACTTTCTATACTTTGTCAGGGTTTCTTTAAAAAAGAGCACTCTAATCCAGTAAAGTAAAACATTCCAAATTAGGCTAATACTGGCATGGCTTTAACCAATTAGTCTACATTCAACCAATCTTACTTTTTGATATTAGAGGCAGTTCCATTTAGCTTTCTCATTTCTTACCCAAAACGCCTCGAGCTGCGCTGTCTAGAGTCCCTCCGTGTCCAATTTTCAAAGTCTGCTTTTTCCTCTTGGTCCATTCTGGAGAGGGCATTCCAGCTTCTAAGAGAGTAATTGAGATGAACGAAAGTAATTACCAAGATGAGTGAAGTAGAGTTTCTATAAACTTGGGGGAAGACAGGATGATATTCAAAACAAATAACACATTACACAAACTTAACATATTAAGACTATAACATTACTAGCAAAGAATAGTTTTTAAATGTACACACTTCCCTAAATTACAGAAAAAAATATTGTTCCAAAATTAGTTGTCTAGAAACTAGAATTCAAGAAAAAAAAATCAATACTTTAAAAAAAATGGGTAAATATCAAAGACAAGCCATAAAAAATCTAGTAAATTCCTGGTAATGTGATCTGTCAGAGAATGATGAAAAGAAGTTAACTTTGATATAGACAACTAGTTTTGAAAGTCCTCAATTTGCATTTCTAACTCTCTTCCATTACCTGGTGTTCTTCACTGGTAGACTAGCCACGTAACATTGTGAGTACATCTCATTCAGGGATACTGCCACGGACACTGAGATCACAAACTACTTTTGTTTGTTTCCATCTTCTAATTAAAACTCAGTTCCTTAAAGAAAAAAATCTTAACTAAAGGTTATGTGGGAAACAGAAAACAGTTCAGTTGTCTCTTGACCTCTAAAGCACTTAATTTTTTTTAAAAAAAAAACCTGATTTATCTCTCACATGCTTGTCATAAAGATAAAATTAAATAATGTTACCTGACAATGCTTTGGAAAGTACGAAGCACTTAAGTTATGCTGCTGCTGTTGATACTTAACAATATATTGAGAGAATACTGGCTACTGATTAAATGAGAACGGAGAGAACAAGATAGCTATAATGATCTACATCCCACGCCCTCAACCTTTCAAACCCAGGAGACAGAAAAAAGCAAAAGGCAAAGAAAGGAAGAGAGAAAAGATGAGGGGAAATCAAAGCAGTAGTAGAAATGGAGAAGCCAGGTAAAACAGCTAATATGATGTGCTGGGTTGCTCAGCCTCACTGCATAATTACCACCCTACTGAGTCAGAACCAAGTTATCAGGAACACAGCCCCAGTGTCACTCTCTAGTTACGACATCATCATGCTTGGAAGAGCATGGCTGTCTGCTTTGACATAAATTCCTAAGGTTTGGCCTAGCCTTCAAATGCCTCACTTTTCACTTGCAATCTATCATGGATCTTTCATCCATGAATTTACTGAAATCTTCGTGGGTTATTTTCAGCTTTATACTTCTTGTGTGAATGCCCTATAAACTTACTGTATCATCTGTAGCCAAATTTACCTCTTTCTAATTTACAGACATACTATCTCCACCACATTGAAATTTGGCTCAATTTACTGAAACAAATACTCATGGGTGAACATGTGTTAAAGTTTTTTCTAGCTATAAAATTCTGATGTTTCAGGCCTTAAAGGATTCAGACGGAGAACAGTGGGGATTATAGTGTGGTGGGAATCAATATTAAAAAAAAGAAATGGGGCTGAGGATGTGGCTCAAGCACTAACGCGCTCAGCACCAACGTGCTTGCCTGGCACGTGCAAGGCGCTGGGTTCGATCCTTAGCACCACATAAAAAAATAAAATACAGATGTTGTGTCCACCAAAAACTAAAAAAAAATAAATATTTAAAAAAAAGACAAATGATGTTTATTAGAGGCCATGACCATTAACTGCAGTTTTAATTGGTGCTTGTCAAACATGGCCATTATCAGAATGTGAGTATCATAAGGCACCTTCCCAGGTAATTCTGTCAACTAGTCAGAATGGCACTTGGGAAGTCCCAGTTTAGTTAACATAAATAAAAAATAGCTCAATCACAAACATTGTAGAGATGGATGGCACTGAGAATATCAATATCTGAATGAGTGGTTTCCAGAAAACAACCTAGCCATAGCATTGAAGCAATCAATTTTAACGAAGTTTCAACAAGAACATTCAGTTCTTGGAGGTGGACTAACCATAAGGCCAGAGTATGGCTTTGATCCTGTCAGAAACTTGTTGGAACAAAAGAATGGTAACCATTACCTTAAGGATCAATAAAGCCATAGTTCTGCTAACAAATCAGGCCAAATGAAGGCAGGAACTCTATGAAGGAGAAAAAAAAAAACTCTAATGATAATACTATGCTTACCCTTGATGCAATTCCTTGCTTCAACATCCCTATATGACCCTTTGTAATAGGTGACAAAAGTATAACAAAACAACGAGTAGGTATAACACTGGAATTCAACTCTGTTAAGTGTACCTGTTAGCCAATAAACATTTAAATCTGTATTGTGCCAGTTATAATTAATTTCCTATCAGAATAATTTGGTTTTGCATTTTTTTTTTAAATGTAGTTTGTCAGGGCACACTAAACAATTAAGAAAGTTCCCATTCTGGTTTAATGGCAAGATAGGCTAGGACCAAACCCTGGAAAGCCTTAAATAACCTTAATAGTTTTACCACTAGAGGTTGAAGAGGTTATTAGACTGTGAGCTCAGTTACTGGAAGAGATAGTATGTTTCATCTTCTTGCCTCTTTAAAACAAGTCAGATCTAGCTTAGTGTGGGGTCCAATATAACTAAAGTTCTGTTGGGCACAGTGGCACATGCCTGTGATCCCAGGAGTTCAGGAGGCTGGAGGAGGATTACAAGGTCAAAGCCAGCCCCAGCAATGTAGCAAGACCCTGTCTCAATATGAATTTTAGAAATGGGCTGGGAATGTAGCTCAGTGGTTAAATGTCCCCTAGGTTCAATCTGGTACCAAAAAATACAAAAGCAAAAATTAAAGTTCTGTGATACTACTATCTGTAATGATCTAGCAGGCTGATGAACTCTGTGATCCTTCAGGCTCTTCTAATATTTTCCGAGCGTATGTGACCCTCGGAAGCACAAGGTTTTGGAAGGCAAGGGTTAGGAATCTGCTGTTGTTCAAGACTCTCAATAATTCTTATGCCCACTAAAATGTGAAAAACACTGTAGTAAGTCTTGCCTAAGCATATCTGCTTTAATATATTTTGAAGAATGCAACTTTGCGAGTACAGAGCCAGAGCTTCCTCTGAAGAGGTTCATCCTCATGAACAGAACAAAACCCTCCTGAGGCATCAGATTGCAGAAAATTGGTGTGCTCACTGTAGGGTAGAAATTTATTGTGTATGAGTGTGTGTGTGTGTGTGTGTGTGTGTATGTGTGTGTTTTAATCGCCCACTCCCCATCATGATAACAACTGGGTTATCAAAAATTTATGCAGGCCGGCGCGATGGCGCACGCCTGTAATCCCAGCGAATCCGGAGGTTGAGGCAGAAGGCTCCCGAGTTCAAAGCCAGCCTCAGCAATTCAGCGAGGCCCTAAGCAACTCGGATCCTGTCTCTAAATAAAATACAAAAAAAAGGGGGGGGCTGGGGATGTGGCTCCGGGGTTAAGTGGCCCTGAATTCAGTCCCCGGTACATTAATTAATTAATTAATTCACGCGAGGGCAAGCCCAAGCCCGAAATGCCTGATTTCTGTCCAGGGCTGATCTGGGGGTCGTTCTCCCTTTCCCTTCCTCTTCTTTCTCCAGCAATGCGTATTGCAAAAAGCCCAACCTAGTCCCCTCCCGGGCTGCAGTACCTGCTAGCAGCTTCTCCTTCAACCGATTCAGCAGCTCGGCTGAAGTGGGCCCTTTGGGCTTGTGCACGGCGAACACGCCGCTAAGGGACAGCAGTTTAGTAGCCAAAGCGGCCTTGACAACCCTGGCTTCGCATCCGGTCCTAGCTGCGGCTGCAACCGCCACGGCTGCAGCCGTTGCTGCCGTGGTCGCCGCCGTTGTTGCGGCTGTTTCGGCACTCTCTGCAGTTTCAGGGGCTGGGTCTGTTTCTAAAGACGAAGACGACACCACTGCCGCCTCTGCAGCTGCCATACTTTGACGGCCCAGTCCTGTTACCGGGAGGCGCATATTGATGACGTAACAAGATTGCGCTCGACAGCCGTCTTTCCCCTGCCGTGCGAACGCGCGGGGCCGCAAGGGCCTGTGGGAGTTGTAGTTCAGGGCTCCCGGCATCCGCCAAGGGTTCGCTGAGGCGCCCCTGGGTTCGTTTTTCTCCTAAAATCCTTTCTGCTTCTTACCAGGGGTTAGTTGCGTGCCGCAGAGGTTATTTTCAGTTGCAGTCCTAAACTACCAAAACCCAAATACCAAATCTATGTTTTAGATGGAGGAACCTCTCCGTATCCCACCTGCACACCCTCGCCTAAACTAAAAGCATCCCACATCAAAGAATAGAAAACCTGATGACCTTTGATGAGGCTTGTCAGGGTCCACGGCCGCCTAGGCTCACTGTTTCGTCCGATTTGCAATCAAGGTTTCGAATTAAAATACACCTATTGTAAGCCCAGTTAGAGCCAGGAACCTGTGCCTGGCTCTCTATTGCTTCATGCCTAGTAGGAGCTTAAATAAATATTTGGAAATGAATAAATGAATAGAATTCAATCCCACAAAGAAACTTATAGGCCGAGCCAATGGCAAATCATTCTGGCCTATTCTGGTACCCCGCTTCTCCTGTCTCCCCAACCTTCCCATTTCTTAACAATTTGAAGAGTTTCCATACTAATTCTTCACTATGCTGCATTCTTTAGAACATTGTTAGGATGTGAAAAGCATTATTGAAATTCACAAAATTAATCTACATTCAATTTGAGAAATTCAAAGTTACTTATTTCAATTCAAAGTTACTCAATAAAATCCAAAGAGTATTATTCTGATCCTAGCACAGGCAAAATGGAGACAGTCAGACTCTTGCATTTTATTTCCGCTCCACACACTAAATGCTGTACTGAATATGGTGAGACAAATAAGTTTGTCTTCATTGTTTTCAACATTTTCTTACAGCTACTTTTTCATCATCCTCTTGGACCTTAGTATTTAGTATCCTAATGATGTCTCTTAGCTGCTCAGAATTACCAGTTAGGGGAGCCCATGTGAATTTGCTACCATTCATGCAATGAGCACACGTCACAACAATTATTTTAAATACAATATTTCTTCCTTTCTATATTTTCACCCTTCCCCATTAAACTAGAATATGAAATTCTAATTAAATCTTTATCTGGAAAATACAAAAATGCGAATGTACTTTAATGCCACAGAACTATACATTTAAAATGGTGAAAGTAGGAAATTATGTGCTGTATGTAGTATATATTTTACCACAATTTTTAGAAAGGCAAAAAAAAAATCTTTGAGGAAGTTTTTATAAGGTGGAAAGCTGCAACTCCTAGAAGGAAGCCCGGTATACTTTTGACCTATTTCAAAGCCTAAGCTAACTGAAAGATGAACATGTCACAAGATTAGCGGATATCTGCGCCTGCATCAAGATTTTCTCCATTCCAGAATGTGACAGGACATAGAAGGGATGGATGACTGCACCCTGGGAAGCAAGGGATATTTTGTCTCAGCCAAGCTTTATGTGTTCTCTTAGCTTGGAAGCAAAGAACCAGGGACTTTCATACAAGGTTTCTGGGTTAAACGATTGTTTGGAGATTTGAAACACAGCCCTTCCCCAATGTCCAGACATCACTAAGCTTCTCTAATTCTATGTGACTCTGGAGTGGGGATGTGAAGGGAGGGCAGAACTAGGGGAGACAACTAATGCTTAATTAAATTTGAATTTTCTACCAGCCCAAAGCAGAGTCTGAGTTAATTTGATTTAAAGAAAAAGAAATGGATTTTTCCCCATTTGATTTCTTGGATGCTAGGGCAAAATAAAATTAATTCTGCTCTGATAATCAAATACGTATTGTTGGCATCAGAAGCTCCAAGCTCTAATTTTTTGAGATAACTTACATTTCTCACATAGGGCAAGCCTTAAATGCAACGACCTTTTTACTTGATGCATACAAGTTGGGATTCTTTTGTTAGAAGCAACAGAAACTGATTTATACCAGCTTGGAAGGAGGTGGGAGGATTGATCAGAAATACACTAGAATACTACTCAGAACCTGAGAAGGTTAACTGTCTCCCCCACCTCCACCTTTTTTGCTATATTCTTGTGTTTTCTTCTTTCTTCTCTGTTGCTTCTAATAGCTTTTCCTCTAATCCTCATTCCACATTTGTTGGGTAAAATCATCCTGTTTTGATCAGCTTCCCAAAGTGTTCTGAATGAGGTTGCTACTGGCCACCTGTAGAACATCCCTCTGCATAACACTTTCCCATTCACATTCCTGCTTTTTCTCCACAGTACCTCATCTGAAATACTACATATTTTACTCATTTTGTTTAATGTCTGATTCCATCTACCAGAATATAAACTCCATGAGAACAAGAATGTTCATTAATTGCAGAATCTCCAGGGCCCGAAATAACAGCAGATATAGCACTTAATGAGTATTTGTTAAGTAAAGTAAATGAGAGTTCCCCGAGAAATCTCCATAAAGGGTTTAGTTCCAGTTCCCAATAAAAGTGGAGTGCTGAACACATAAAATAATAGTTGTGTGTAATATACGAAATTTATCACACTTGGCTTCAAATGCCTTAATCTCATATGTATGGCAAAGAGAATAAAATTACTCAATGCCCATGTAACAAGACTCCAACTTTCTAAATCAGCTTCCTTCCTCAGCCACCCATGGGCCACTAAAGATTGTTCACCAATAAGACTCAAACATCAGCAAGAGCCAAATCTACAGCTGCATTCCCAGAACACTTCTCTGCTCCCTGACGTAGGCATGTATGACTGGAAAAGCTGTTTTTCACACGGTCTTCTCCAAATTTTGTTCACCCATGGAACTTCCTATAGATGATAGAATCAGTAGTACATGATGAGAATTTAGAGCTCCAAGCTCTAATTTTTTGAGATATGTATAGTTCATATATAGTTCAAGGCACAAAAAGGTATTCCTGATATCCAAGAAGAGAAAACTGAGGATGCTCAAGCCTGTGCCATAAACTTGAGAAAACCATAGTTTTTAAAAGGTTCAGAGAAAAGATAGATCCATGTTCTATCTGTCCATAAAATTTGGAAGAGCTAGAAAATTATTTTTTTAAAAAATCTGAGCCATTGAAATGAATCCCAATAGAGAAGAAAATGGTAAGGTAACTAAAGAAATTAGTGGTTGGTTGCACAAGGAATTCTGCTATGAGCTGAGGGGTCTAAAAGAAACACTGCAGAACCTTCAGGGTGAGTGACTGGAAAGTTAAACTTTTTAAAATATAAATAATATCTGTAATGTTTTGGTTTTGACCTTACATTGCAATTAAGAAAAATAGTAGCAATAAAGTAAAACTTAAATTCAAAGAACATTTTTGGTTTTGTTTTTTTAAAAAGAAGGAAGTATAGATGATAAAATACTAATACCAGAAATCATCACAAACCCCCAGGAGGTCAAAAAAGCCAACATCCAAATGACTTGGAAATGGAGAAAAAATCCAGGTATATTAAAAGAAAACAAAAATAAACTGTTTTAAAAAAAATCAAGAAAGAGATTTATTTCTTAAGGCTAGTAGGATAAAGGAAATGAACGAGAAAGATGAAGCAAAACTCTGATTGGCCTGTCGTCTCTATCAAGGAGAATAATTTTGGGGGTGGAAATGGAAAAAGCAAAGAATTGGAGGAGAGTAATGTTCCTGGGGGTGACAAGAAAGATGCTCTCCCTGTGATACCGGAGGTTAGAGCTCCTGGTCTAGAAAATTCTGTCTTGAGGTGGGGGCATATGAAAACTTGCAAAAGAGATAGCTCAAGGGGACAAACTTTTGTTGAATATATGATATGCACTCACACTTAACATTGGCCTGGAAGTCTAGAGTAAATCTCAAGTTATGTTTGTGGAAACTCTGGGGTATAATGGGTGCCAAAACTTCACCACAAGGTAGGTGGTAGTATTATTAATATGGTGATGATTATTATTTAACTAAAAAAGAAACTGACACTTAATGAGATTAGTTAATTTGATTAAGGCATAGAGTTTGTGGATATGTTGGGAGTCCCCAAGACCAGCTTCAGGCTGGATTCACTAAAAAGACTCAACGTTCAGAAAAGCTGCAATACTCATAGTTGAAGTTTATTATGGTGAACGATTAAAATTAACAAAAGGAAAAGTATGTGGAATTAAACCAGGCACTAGCTTCCAGTTTCTTCTTCTAGTGGAGTTGTATATATGGAGCTTGATTCTCGTAACACTGAAGTGTAACAACACGGGTGAAGTGTTGCCAATCAGGGAAATTCATCTGAGCATTGGTTTTTATTGGGGATTAGTGCCTGCGTGACTAATCCTACTTGGCTACTCAGTCTCTGGCTCCACAGGTTAAACTGATGCAGTCTAGAATAGGTGCCTAATAATTTAGTACATTCTTATCAGGCAGGATATTCCAGGGGTTCAGAAGTTGTTTCAGAGCCAGTCTTTTCTTTGGAATGTGCAGGGATCAAGTTTCCCAAATTTGCTGGGTTAACTTTTTATAGCACAACAAACAATCTGGTACTGGAAATCCAAGACTTACTCCAAATTTTTCAGAGCCTGCAATAACCACTTCCAAAGATCTTGGAGGTATAATGGAGAATTTACTTCTGGAGTAAGTCCAGAGGACACCATTTGGCTAAATATTATTTCAATTTTCAAAAGTATTAAAGGCAGATTTAGCAACCTGCATATAAGAAACCTGGGTAGGAGTCTAGAATAGGTGGCTAATAAGTTAGTTGTATAAAAAGGAGGTTGTGATTATAGAAAGTCAGAATGGGCTTATTAATTCAACAAACATTTAACAAGGCTCTACTCCGTGGAAAGCATCGAGAATTCAGCAGTCAGTAAACAATCTCAGTTTGTGCTCTTGTAGAGCAAACATGCCTTGAGTTTCTATATGCCAGAGGTAAGTGACAGGCAAACTTCCTACCCTCAGAACTCCTTTTAAATAAGTCATTCTTGTTTAAAAATAATACAGATCTTCTTTGATAATTTGCTAGGCTAGAAA